TTGGACACGACTCTCCTGTTACCCGCTCCTGGGGCAGAAGACGGTCTTCTACCACCGCTTTGGCTTTTCGGACTGAGCGACGACCCATGGTCCGCTCCCGCGAGAGATTCCACCGCGAACACCGGACCGGTTATGCTTTTCGCCAATGCGTATCAAGTGCAAAAGTGTCTGGGTCTGGAAGAATGCAGACTTGTCATGCATATTTTCTATGATGATTGATGCCTCTAATGCATGATCTAGCGACACAGATTTTTAGAGCGCTTCCTAAACCTAATGCCTATTCCGCATGAGAAATGCCCTCTCCACGTAACACAAACTGGAGTCCTGTTGCTGGTCATGCAATACAGATTTTTTTGGAATTTAAAGACAGCATTACAAGTTGCAGTCTTCCAGATCCAGACATTTTTGCAATCCATAATGCGCCGACGTCTTTGAAGCGCTCCTGCTGTTCCTCGCGGAAATACTCCAGTGCCTCGTTTGCGTCACGGATAAAATCGCCCGGCGCGGGCGTGTCTACGTCGAAAAATTCCGCCACGCGGGAGTAGGGGTCCACGTCCGGATCCTCTTTCAGACCTAACGTTTCCAGCAGCTTCTCGTTCGTGGCAAACTGGCAGTCGCGAAACTTCGCCCGTATCTTTTCGCGTTTCGCCGGGTCCTGCATAAGCGAATTCCTTCTCGCCCACCAAGGGCTCGGGATACCCTGCTCCTTGAAAAAATCCAGGATGGCCTCCGGGGACTGGTCGGGGACGAAAGCGGAAGAACTGAAACTAGAACGGGAACGGGAGAATTGCAGCCCTTTCTCTATCTGATAATTTCAACAAGTTGGAAGTTAGTATATTCACTAGATTCTGCTTGCAGAAGCAGATCGTCGATGTAGATGGCCTACAGCAACGGAAGCAGTTGTACCAAAACAAGAGACATCGATCATCTGACTAAGTATGAGAATCAGAATTTAGTAAAACTCACCCCAACTTTTGTCGTCCTCTCCGGCATCAAACTTTTGAACGGCCTCGGGTTTTCCCCGAGTACGCTGTCCGTCCGCTGGAAGTGCAGTTTTGGATTGCTCGCCGTGTCCACGATGCCCAGCTTGGCCGCCGCAATTGGGTCGCTGTGTCCGGCCGCTATGCCGTCCATCACGTCTTTAAGCGAGACGCGCTCGCCGCCCGTCCCATTGCGGCTCGGCGCGTTGGAGGATTCTGTTGGTTTTGGATTTGGAATGCGATATGATCGTCTATTTTCATGTCAATGTCATGTTGATATTGTAGATTGTAGCCTTCTTCTTGCGAAATGCTTTTAACCGCAAGAAGAAGAACCCAGACTGCAAGCATGATGAATTTTACCTGCATCCTCGAAATCGTCCAAATAGTCTTCGGGGTCATCTTCCTCATCCTCCGACTGGTAGTTGCCCTCGTGGTATCAGATGCAAAAGTGTCTGGGTCTGGAAGAATTCGAGATTTGTGACGCAGTTTTGCCTGACCCGGATTGTCTGGCATGCAAGCCAGCACAGCAGCACAGATTTCGAGCAGGTCTCCCAAGGCCTAAGACGCATGACAAATCCCCTGCTTCGGTAACAAGAAACGGGCACGGGGCCTTTTGCTGGCCATGCATGACAGAATTTCTCATGATGTAGAATTCGCATCACAAATTGGAATCCTTCCCGACCCAGACATTTTTGCATTTGATACGTGACGCATCGGAGGACCGGCGTCCACGCCCAATTCGTCCTCTGCGTAGGCCATACTTCGTTCTGAGACTATTTCTCGCTCGTCTTTAGAATTCGCACAGCACGTGGGGGTGGGGAAAAAAAGTCCCGTGCTGCAAAAAGAAAAGATGTGTGATTTCAATTTTGGTCAACAACGTTTTGCTTCCGAAATAGCTTAGCGTACGACAACGAGGCATCAAAAGGCAGTTGTCATGAACTAACACTGTACGCGTTTGTGAAAAAGACTGGCAAGCAGGCGCTACGAATCGAGAAAAAGACGAGTGCGACGACCCCCAGCCCCCCACGCATGGCAACAAAAAAAACGAAAAAAACCGGCAGCGCGTGCCACAATAAGTTGTTTTCCTTTTCGCAGCGATACATCCAACCGCAAATCAAGAGCAGATGCCCCCCAACCCATGGACGAGAT